GAGGCGGCGACCATGTCAGTCAACTGGGCATGGCAAGTACTGAACGGGAAGGAGAATCTGTTGAAGAAAATCACCCTATTGGGCTTATTGAAGGAGTTCTGTGTAAGGCAGACACTACATGATCGGAATAGATGTCGATTGAGCGTTCGCAGTCCGATTTCGCAATGTTCCCATATTTGGGTACGGTACCCGGTTGGCGCCTTGATCTGCACTTCATCAATCAGTCGATGGATGTCTATCAGCATTCGGCAACGACTCGGTGTCGGTAAGCATTCTTCTCTCGAGTTGCAGCTTCACGTGCTTGACATCCCAGTTATGGTCCAGTATTACTTGTATATTATCGTAATTGCTACTTCAAATGTATTTCGCTTCTTATGTTTGTATTCATTAGCAGGAGTGCAGGTCAAGATAATAGAACAAATAAGCAGTGTTGAATGGTCAATTTTATTAGCTATGTGATCTTTGAGATCAACTGATAGAAGTTTTGTTTCAGCTGGTCAATCTGTTTGCCCCGCCTGTAGAGGTTGAGGAGACTCCGCCACAACTGGAACGAGAAGGCAGTCCTTCGGACGACTCCTACATTACAACAGACGATCAGACGGTTGGTTTTAGTTTTGGTGGGGGGGGGGGGAGGTATTTTCTTCAAATACTGCAGAGTGATGCGCCCAACACCGATTGTGAGATATCCAAGTACTACTGTTCGATTAAGAGTTCCTGGCGAACAATGCTTTCGCAATCATGTGGGATCTCGGTTATACCTTTGCGAATCTCTGCACCCGATCGATACATGTTTAACCTGTACTCGAGCCAAGCAACTGCAGAGTTGTCGCAAGGTATGACCGCAGCCTCCGCTTGCTTTCATACTCGGCGCGGCGCGGATTGTGCGGAAAGTGCTAAGTGCGACACTACAATATGCAGGCGCACGATTGAAGAGCTTCCCCTGACTGCGCGCGAAACATAATGTGCTTGCATCCGATACTGGCCACTTCCACGTTGCACGCACTGTCTGCGCGTTTCGCACCGGCGCGAAGTATGAAAGCAACCTCAGATAAGAAGCGGCTTTCGTCCAAATGATAAATGAAGGATGAATGTGATGGTGACATGAAACGAGAGTGGTCAGTCGACGTGTTCGTTAGGAAATGTGGATGTTACTGTAATGTCATGGCTTTCGCTCTCCCTATGCTGGCTGGTCTATTTCCAAGGGCTTTCCTTCCCTTTCCTTTGAGAGGAAAAATAGCATATGGCTAAGTTAGGTACGAGGGTTGATGAATATCGCATACCTGTTTAAAATTTTCGATTTTCACCCAGACATTCGGGTGGTGTTTG